ATCATTTTAAAAATTCATACTGTCAGCAAAGTTGATTAGCGTCACCGTCGATATCAGTTTTCGGCAGTTTATCCTTCAAGGTTAGGCATTTTTGTTGCCGGGTGTTTGAGGAACACCGGTGGAGGACTTTGATAAGATTGAGGGTGTCGTTTTCGTTTCGTCTTTCTTCACTTCCCTCCGCAAATACTTCCAGTGCTCATTGCTTCCCTTTTTTCTCGACCTCTACATTATCTGCAAACAAGCATGGACGCGAAGTTTTTGCATTAACATTTAAAGTATTAACGCACACCAGAGTTACTGTTGGTAGGCTTAGTTACATGGTGAGAGTTGGACAGCTTCGCCTATATAGACGCCGTTAAATTACAAGTCCTCATCGGTAGCAGAGGAACGAGGCCCGAGGGAAACATCGTCCATCTCTGATAGGCCAGGCGTGGAGCAATGTCTGACCGATCGATGTCAACACTTGTCGCGTCGATGATGATATCCTCTGCAAGACCTGACTACGCTCTTGATTTCCTCTGCGAATACATGGCTGCACATGCTTCGAGTAATTTGCATTAATTGATATCCGTCACCGACACGAAGTCTAATGATAGGATTAAACTACTCGTTGTTTCATCTTTCTCCAGTGACCTCTTCCGGCCCGGTCGGTCGATTGGGTGGATCGATTTTCCTCGTTTAACAGATTGGTTTCATTATCACTGACGGTTTAAATCCTCCTCCTCCTCCTCCTCCTCGTTCGCCGAGCCACGGCTGGCGTCGCCTCTTCTTCGCTTCCGCCAACTCGTCGTCATGCCGTTGTCCCATTTTTCTCTCGCTCGTTCCGTTTGCCCTGTCCCTGAGTATCCACCGTACGCTGCTCGGTGACCATCGAAGTGGACGTTGGTTTGTGCTGCACCGGTCACAAGTATGTGGCCGATTTTCCATTCCGTTTCCCCTCAATCGCATGTTTGTGTTGTCTTCATAATCCCGATGTGACCCTAATAGCCGGCGCCCGCGCCGGGTCGCCTGTTGTTTCAATGGTGACGACGGCGAACGTGGCGCTAGCGGATTATGCTCATCCGAAAATTTTCTTTCTACCGTAACCATTTAGCCCACTTCCTTTTCTAACGCAGGTGTAGCTACCTACAGCGGATTAATTCGCCGACT